TAGTGCAGTAGGCTTTGCATTGGCTGCCAACAGGTTTCTAGGTGGAGTTCTTGGTGCTCTCTGAATTTGGTTGTTTGCTTGCAGATGTTTCATTACCCAACTAGGTAGCATCATCAGTGTGAGTGTGTGGCATTTGCTGTTTAGTTTCCTCTGGGTGGTTCCTTGATTAGAGAACTGTTTTCTGTCTGATACTGCATATAAACAGGCAGTAAACCCCACACTCACTGGCGCTAATGTTGTTACCTAGTTGGGTAATGAAACGTCTGCAAGCAAACAACCAAGTTCAGAGAGCACCAAGAACTCTTCAGCCCTGAGTTTGATCCTGAGCTACAAATATTCTCTTCTATTAGAGGTTTCTAGGTGGAATTTAAAGGGCTGGTTTAAATTTATAAAGCCCTACATGGCTTGGTGCTGTGTTGTTTGTAGGACCACCTTCTCCAGCCAGAATTGACCCGTCTGATTCGTGTATCCCAGGAACAGCTGCTGCTGATCCCACACTTCATTGAAGTCAGGGAGGCTGAGACCAGAAGGTGTTTTTCTGTTATGGTCCCCAGACTATGGAATAGCTTTCCTCTAGAGGTGAGACTTATCCTGACGTGAATTACCTTCCAGAAATTGATAAAAATGAAGCTTTCCTAGGGGACTCTCATGGTTTAAATGAATTGATGTTATCATATGGATCAATATTTTTTGAAATTTTTGATGTTGATTTAAAAGTTGCAAATTACTTACATGAGTATCATAGATATTTTATCTTGGATTGTGTTGGGTATTGCTGAGAGTCTTCTGATTGTGGGGGTATAGAAATGTGATAGATAGATAGATAGATAGATAGATAGATAGATAGATAGATAGATAGATAGATAGGCTATGCCAAACTATATGCTAATTGCCAAGGGAGAGGCCACATTAGAAATCATATCAACACAGTTATGATCGCAATTCTGTATTTGCTGAGAAAATGGAGAATGCATCAGGAAGGGATGCTTAATCCCCCTAGCATCCTCCAATTTCACTCTACATCCCCCTCCATCCCATATGTCCAATTTTCTTCCCCAGATTGGCTCACATTTTCAAGGAGGCAGGAGCCCAACGGGGGAAAAACATTTTCAACGTGCTGGGTATGTGTGGTATTTGTAGGTGGGAGGGTGGGGGATTGGTGAGCTGAAATGAATCCGCCATTGTCTACCCATTCTATCGCCCACTACATTATCTTGCATTGTGGGTGAAATGCAGTATTGGGAATCTTCATAATATCTCCCTTGGAAGATTATTATAATATATTGCATTATAATCAGGCCCCAAATAGGTCTACTGACTGAGATCTAATTTTATGCACTGAGTGACACTTGCTTCCTGGGAAGCATGTGTAGCGTTGGAGCCTTAGGGAGAAGTCAACAAACCTTGGGATGTTCACTGTCCTGGTTTCATGCATGCTAACCCCAGGGCAGAAAAGCTCACCCCCCACACAACATCATTCTTTCTCTACAGCTTAACCCAAGCATCCTCACCCACCTCTTAAGAAGAAACTGGCGACACCAAAAGCAGCAGGCTCACAGAAGGAGCATCTCCCCTCTGCTGTCCAGCAAATGTGGGGTCAAGCAATGACTCAAATAAGACATTTGCCTAAGCATGACACAAGGGCAATAAAGACAGCTAGGCACAGTCAGGAAGCCCGTGAAAAGCAGAAAAGACTTCCGTGCAAACAAAGGTAAATCCAAGTCTATTGTCTCATTCAGCTAAACGCAATGAAGTCAGAAGCATCTTTAAAAGGGCACCAAGACCAAGAACGGGCCGGAAAGGCACAATGTAGGAAAGGGTCCAACTAACTGAAGTGCAATTTAGAATGTGGTATTAGGGGGTTCATAGAATCCAAAAGATAAAATGGTTGCAAAAGTGTTTGCACTGAAAGTTATCCCCTGTCTTTATTGAAAGGACTCCATGAATTATTCAGTGGTTTCAAAACTATATTTTGAACAACCCTAGGATTCTTTGGAAGTTTCTAAGGAGTTCCTCAAAGGGAGTATCAGTAAACCCAGGCAGGTTTTCCTACTGAGCTTCCTCTGCAACCCAGGAACTACAGAAGAGTCATAAGAAATAGTGATGGCCATTCCTGCAGGGGCCAGTTTTAATGTTAAAAAAATGCCCCTTTTTCTCCTTTACCTGTCTTACATATAGCAATTGTAGAGAGTAGGGGAGATGACCTTGACAGAGATACATAAGATCTGTCACCAGGGTGATGGGGGGGCGGGGGGATGAAACAGGCTTTAAGTGCACAACAGACAGATAATATTCGGAAGTAGTTTAGACAGACACCTCCCTAATTTAGTGAACTATAAAAAACAGGAGGAGGTATAGCACAATCAGACCTGCAAGATTCTGTTAGTATAGCCAATCTCAATAAAGATAATTTTTGTCTTCCTGTGGAGTTGATTTCTCGGTCTGGTCTACCTAGTGGGGCTGACATCAATCTTGCAAGTCTGATTGTGCTGTACCTCCTTTCCTTTCTTATAGTTCAGTGAATTAAAGAGTGGTCCATCTAAACCACTTCCAAATATTATCTGTCCGTTGTGAACTTAAAATATGTTTCACCCCTTGTTGCTCTAGAAACGAATCTTGCATATCTCTGTCAAGGTCATCTTCCCTACTCTCTATAGCAACACTATAGATGTACTGGTTTAGCAGTCTTCTAACAAATGCTTGGGATTGTAATTTTGCACAACTGTGTATCTTGGCACATGAACCAAACTACAATTTCTAGAGTTTCAGTGGATGGAGATAGGAAACAATCAGTAAAATAGGTTAATATTTGTATCTTTCCTCCTTCTCTGTTCACCACAAATCCGTTGTTATTCAATATTATGCATATATGCTTCATCAGGGATGAAGCAGAAGGTGAAGGAAGAGGAGAATGAGGATACACTTTCTGATTAATCCTATATTCACATTATATATGTACACTATAAGGCCACTGGCTGGTCATCTTAGTTAAATCAGGCTCCAACCTATTCTGTGAAGATCAGTGGATTAGAAATGGCTCTATATCCTCTGCAATATTTGAGGTTTTCTAGGCAGATATACAAAGATTCCTTGGCAGATGTGTTAGTCCCACCATCTTCAAAATGCTAAATTTGAAACCCTTTGGAAATTCAGTCTGCTCTGTGAGAATTCAAAATATAACATTTACAATTGCCATGGCCATCCCTGCATTCCATTAGGAAGCTGAATTTGTACAATGTGTAGACCTGCGCTGATCAGATTATTATGAACCAAACATTTCATGAAGAAAAGATACTTCTTGGAATAATTATCTTTCAGGGAAGCATTTTCTGTCTCTTGTCCTATAAGCCATGTGGCTGGGCCCTAGTTTCCTGGATAATTCCAGCTGCAGCAAACAGACTGTCCAAGCAAAAAGGAGACATTTTCCCCAGCTCCCCACAGATATTGCCTATTTTCCTGCATAGATGAACAGACAGATATGAGAGAGTAGCCAGAGAACAAACAAGGCATGCGATGAAGGGTTGTACAGTAAGATACCTGGGAGGCAGGATACAGGAGAATAGAGGGGGAAGGAGTTTATGCTACAGGAAAGGATAAAAGAAACCAGAGTTAAGAGAAATTAGGAAGGAAGTTCACAAGAAGAGGAAAAGATGATTAGTCTGGATGGAATGAGTAGGTAGAAATAGATGAATGAATGATTAGCAACCCACAAAGGTTGGAGAACTCTTTAGAATACTGATTATGTAAACCACTGTTTCTTCTCCCTCTTTCCCTATACCTTGTTACCCAGAACTCCCAGACAGTTTCCATCTGCATTTGTGCTTCCTCTGGTCCAGCAGGACCTATTTTAACCTCAGATCTGAAAAGAGAAACCAAATGCCCAGGGGCAACTCCACAGCTTGACAAAAGGAACTCTGTCATTGCCTTTATCAGAACTGCACATTCCTTGGTACTGATATCAAATGCTCATGCATCTGCATGAGCTCCAAGGAGTTCATCTGGAAGGAATGCAAGTGACCAAGCACCGAATCCTATATCTAAAGATGAGCCGCACTGGACAAGTGCAGATGGGAATTATAGACCATCAGAGGAAATATCAGAGGAAGGCAGGAAAAAATTACAAAAGGAAAGATAAGAAGGGAGGGGACATTCCATTTCTTATCTTCTCCAACTTGACAATTTTTTTTATGGATTCCATCTGGGAAATCTGATTCCAGTAAGAAGGAAAAGGCAAGGGAGTGGGAAAATAAGGTAGGTTAGGGAGGCTTACGCTCCAGATAGTTCCGGGCAATGAATTTGAGACATTCATCCAGAAGGATGACAGGTATGGATATCTTCAGCACCACGAGCCAGTGGTGCAAATCCAAGTGTGTCAGTTTGAAGATCATCTGGAAAGCACAAGAACAACAATGGAGAAGTCAATGGTTCAATCTGAGTACCAGGAGAAGTATATATTTTCTTCTTCCTTTCAAGTCATAGTCAAAGTATGTACTAAAATGACAAGTCATAGGCTAAAATTAGATATAATTGGCTGAATCCTGATTAAAGGTTGGATTTAGGTTTTACTAAAATAAATGGGACTTGTTATTTTGAGCAAGTAGGAATCCTTTGAAAGAGGTATTCTGGAATGAATGGGAGAACACTTGAAGCATCTCTTTTCAAACTGTTCAAGATGTTTCCATGTGGGTGTGTATGCATAGTTGCTTCACCTGTTATTTTCCCCAGAAAACAGAGATGGTTGTGCATGCAACACATGAAGAAGCAACCAGAAGCAGTTTCTGGAGCAGCTGTGCAAGCCTGAAAAAATGCAGCTGTTTGAATGATTTGAAAAGAGGTGCTTCACGCATACTGCTGTGTGTTCTGAGTTATTTTTTTTCAAAGGATTTGCACAATCCCCTTCTTAATTTCTGTAGATTTCAGCAGGAATTGGGACTGCAGTCCCCTAGCCATTTGGGCTATGCCATGCCTCAGATTTGAAGGCAAAAAGATTCGCGCAGAGGCATGAATCTAGCACCCATCTGCCACTCTCTAAAACAGCTATGCATTTTCCTGTGATCATGCAGTTGTCCTCTTTAGGTGCCACATGATTCAGGAAATGATGCAGTTGCTTTAAAGAGTTGAAGGAAGGTATTGCTTTATTTGCACCCCTGCAGACTCCATGGCCCCTTTTTACCTTTGAATCCAAAAGCGTTCCCTAGCCCTCACAGATCAAGAATGTGGTCACTACTTACAGGCAGGGGATCAACATAAAGGATGACAAAATGCAGAGACATGGAAAGGCAGATGGATCCCAGAAGCCAGATGTTCACCCAGGGGGGCATCCGTATCAAGGACTGGTTCTCTGAAAGGCTGTATGGGAGAGAAAAATGGGAAATTAAATCAGAGTTATAATTTCTACTGTGTTTTTGAACTGAGAGCCCTCAGCCTTAAATAATCAGACAGTGCAGATATATAGTGGCTAGTTCTTTAAACATGGCTAGCAATTTTTAGATACACAAGATTTGAGCAACTCTCCTTTGAGCAAAGGGTTAATTAGATAGCTCTCAGCTCTGCTTGGAAGGTCCCAGCCCTGGCAGTTAACAAATGGGTACATCTGAGGATTGTGGAAGTGCAAGAACACAGTATTTCAATTTGGATGCAGAATTCAGTTAATCTCAGACTTCATTTAAATCAACATCTTTATGACTATGAAACCCGTGATCAGAAATGGAGATCTAGTGATTGGAGGCACTTGTTCTTTGCCCTTCCTTCTGAACAGTAAAACATGAATTCATTACTCAAAAAAGTAGATTTTTAAATTAAGGATACTTGTCTTTGTTGCATGGCAATAATTCTGCTGCGATAGCTGGAAAAGCACTGCTTTGTGCTAATTAACCTTGGCAAGCTTCAGCAGGCTGCCCTTCTTCTATTGTGAAGACATGTCCATGACAGATGAGAAGTGGGTGTCTTATAATGTTATTCTTCTGATATATCATTCCTTGGTTACCTATACTGTTGCAAAAATTATACTGCCTTACATATTTGCAATGGCTGGTGTTTTGTATCAAATGTTAAGTCAACTTGAAATATAGGTTTTGCACATTGCTAAAGAGCTGAATTAAAGCTGAATCTCTAATATTCCTTTTTTGGAATATGGATTTTGAATTATCTTTAGAGAGAACATTGATTTGTCCTTCCCCATCATCCTGCACAGTTTGGAAAGTCAGAGAAAATGTAAGACTTGCATGGGGTGGGAACAAAGCAGGGAGTAATGCTAGCGAAAAACTTCCAAGGCTGTACCATGTGTATGAAGCCATGGCCTTCATAATCCTCCATTTTACCTGTTGAGCGCATTGCACATCTCAATGGTGACCAGGACAGACAAAGCCATAGTCATGGGGACAGAAGACTCAAAGATTTCACAGTCCAAGCCTTCAAAGGAAGGGTGATCTTCTGAACATTGCATGAAATGGGACTAGGAGAAGAAAGGAAGAATGGGAGAAAGCAAGATGAAAACTGAACAGGGCTTTCCTGTGTTATGAAATCCTTCACTCCTCATATAATACTCCTGTTCTTGTCTCCCACAACCTAGAGCAATCAAAACTCACCAACTGATGGTAGTTCACACCAGGTCCATCCTCTGCATATAAGAACCACCAAGCAGCAGCACCAACAGTGGCCGCTCCGACGTATCCTGTGGGCAAAACAAGAAAGAAAGGTTATTGTGAGCAAAGGAAAAGCCAGTGATAGCAGAAAGGGGTGTCCCCAAGGATGACCTACTCAGAAACTGGAATGAAATGGCTGGGTGGGTTTCTTTTTTGTTTGTTTATTTGGTGAATGAATATGTTGCTCTAGCCAAATGGCTCTGTATGCAAAAATATAATAATATAGATGAATAAAGTGCAATTTATTGATGAATACTACCAAAGATAGCCCAATTGTACCAATCTGGATTAAGCAGAAGATTGGTGCTTGCCTGGGGATTTGGAGATGATAGAGATTGCTGAGCTGAGATTACTGTTAGATCATGTAAGACAAGGATGAAGATGCAGACTTGGATTCACGGTTAGAATATAGGGCCAGCATATATGATATAGGTCCAAGGCTAGGCCAAGGCAACAGCTATGGGGGGAAGCAATTACCTCCAATGGCCATATAGCGGAAGAAGAGCCAACCACTAATCAGGGGCTCCTTGGGGCTACGAGGGGGCTTGTTCATGATGTCCAAATCAGGGGGGTTGAAACCCAAGGCAGTGGCTGGAAGCCCATCAGTCACCAAGTTCACCCACAGCAGCTGCACAGGGATCAAGGCTTCAGGGAGACCAAGGGCAGCTGTGAGGAAGATACTGGAAGGGGGAGATGCAGAGAAGAAAGACAAAGGTGAGGAGATCCAAGAACTCTAGGGAAGACAGGAACCTGTGACATCATCATCACCTCAGGGGGGCAGATCTCCCCGCAATTGTTAATCAGTATTTATCCAACCTTGTGCAAAACCATTTTCCAGACAACCTAGCTTAATGTTGAAGCTGGCCAAGTGAGAGTGGGTGAAGCCCCTTACCAGACAACCTCACCCACATTAGAGGAGATGAGGTAGCGAATAAATTGTTTCATGTTATTGTAGATGGCCCGGCCTTCCTCCACCGCAGCCACAATAGTAGAGAAGTTATCATCTGCCAAGACCATTTCAGAGGCAGTCTTAGCCACAGCAGTACCAGAGCCCATGGCAATTCCAATTTCAGCTTTCTTCAGAGCTGGAGCATCATTTACACCATCACCGGTCTATCAGGAGACAGAAAGAGAGAGAGAGAGAAAGAGAGGAAAGGAGATGGGGAATTAACTGAGATACAAATAAGGAAATGCTGGAGAACCTCAAGTTCCAAGGCTGATCAATCCCCCTTGGTGAGGCACATTATAGCATCACTAGATGGTTCTCCATCTCAGAAAAGTGCTGAAAAGATGCAGATGAAAGCAGCTTAAATGAGCAATTCCTGAAGGGAAACCCTAAAGTGTTCCTTGGGGCTTTCTAGTGATATCATGCTCCTGCAGAGCGCCTGCTCAAAATAACAGGGCTCTGTTATTTTAATTCTCATTTATTTTAAATTTTATTATAATTTTGTTCAATTTGATTCCTGACTCTTTTAACTGTACAGTGGTTTGCCTCTATGCAACAATACATTTTTAAAAGTTTGGTGTAGAAATGAGATATGGTCCTCTCTTGTTAATTAATCCTCAGATCAAACTAGTGAAGAGGGAGAAACACAGAAACGCCTTTTCCCCTAAATAGCTGAAATTAGGACCAATAAAAAGAGAAACTTGTTTGTTCACATAATGGAAAACTGACACACTTTACTCACTGCACCCAGATGGGGGAATGATCATTTCTTTTATAAACTGCATGTTTGGGTTTTGTTCTTTTTAATGAAGAGCAGGCTACAAAAATGTAAATAAATCATACAGCTTTTACTAAATTTCCCCAGCGCCCATTCAGTAATCCAGACCTAGTGGGCAGTGCCCTGCCAAGTATGTTCCCATCTATTCACCATGGCAGTGATCTCATCGAAGCTCTGCAAGAACTCCACAATCTTTGACTTATGTGTGGGCTCAACCCGTGCAAAACAGCAAGCTCTTCGGCAGGCTTCCCGTTGCTCAGCAGAGGGCAAGTCATCGAACTCCCGGCCAGTGTAGGCCCTGCTGGTCACTTCCTCATTTTCACCGAAGATGCCGATGCGGCGACAGATGGCAATAGCTGTGCCTTTGTTGTCGCCGGTGATCATGATGACGCGGATGCCAGCTTCGCGGCACAGTTCAATGGATCCCGACACTTCCTTGCGGGGAGGATCTAACATCCCCACGCAGCCCACAAAGGTCAGGTCCATCTGTGAAGAGCAGGCAGGTCAGAAGAGGTCAAAAGAGATTACAAGCCAGTCTGTGGAATCTACTAGCCCACACACCCTTTCAATAGATAACCACCGCCTAATTGTTATATAAAGTTTATACCATGTCAAAGGCTGGAATGTTTGCAATAAAGATAAATAAAGTTCAAGCTGAATTCTCTGTTATCTTTTCAAAGAGGCATCTGGGGATACTTGAAGATTCTGTTGCTCAAATGGTGACACATCAGGATTTTATGATGCATGTTACTGATTTTTTTTATATATTGTAATTTATGTCGTTATTTGGAAGCTGCTCAGTCTGGAAAATGGAAAATGCTCCAAAAATGGAGCAGCATATACAGTAAGCTAAAGTAATGAATAAATAATACTTTCCATTATAGAGATCTGCTATAACATAGTGGCTTCGGGGGAGAACTGGATCCAAATCTCCACATATACAAAAAGGGCAGTTGTTCAGATAGGCAGGAGAAGAGTGGTATATGCCAACCTAAGCTTCTTGGAGAAAGGGTGGGCTTAAAATAAATCCTAATATAGGTACACTTTGCTTCCTTACACTTCTCAGGTAAATGGCAATTTTCAAGACTGTGTCAGAACATGGTTACATGTTACATCAGTTTTCCCTGCCTTGTTCCCTGTAGAGCTATAGGCAATTCCTGTACTCGCTAGCCACAATGACCAGTGGCCATAAAGGTGATGGAAGTTGTACTGTCCAAAAGATGGAGGAAGTCTCATGCCACCGGCTCCGCCCCTTGATACATCTGGGACAATAATGATGCACCTACAAAAGGGGCAGAGCTCGTGTCATGTCAACCAACTCTGCTTGTGTTATTTATCCTGACTTCACACATACCCACAGACAGACAGACGTCCCACAGACGCCTCTGAAGGGTGCCTTTTTGTCCCACTTACCTATCTTTACCAAATTATCTGTAAAAGCTGCAAGTGGGAGCAGGGGGGATTTCCTAGAGAAATTTAGGTCTATTTATAGAGAATAAATAGAGAAAATAAAATAGAGAAAAGTTCATGGGAGATAAACCAGGGACAGAGAAAGGCAGGAAGTGGTTGGTTCCCCCTTTATTGTAGCTGGGTTCACACAATATGCTGAACCAAAATGTCAGTTGTCTGTTTTTGTTTTAGTGCCTTATATCAGCCAGTGTGACTTAAAAACCAGGGTTTATGGTTCAGTGCCTTGCAGGAAGTAGGCAGATGTATTCAGTAAACCAGGGTTAAACAAACCATGGGTGAATATATAGTTGTACGAGCACACTATTCATGTGTATGAATTCCAACACTTTCAGGCTTCCTTGGCTCCTTTGTCTTCAGAGTTCCCAAGAGACAGAGGTCTGAGATGAAGGAATTGCTCTCATGTGACTAAAAATGAACCGCCCCCCTTCCGTTTTTGCTGCCAAGACTTCTGGTAAAAGTTTAAGGGTCATTGACACAGGGCATCCCCATATGAAGCTATATAGTATCTAAAGCCAATCAAGTTTTTTTTTTCAGCATTTCTCCCTATACACACTTGCTCATGTTAAAAATGCAGTGATAATACATAAATTCATTTGTTACTCTTTCAAAACACCAAGATCAGCTTCCAGGGTCAGGGACCTCTTAAAAAAGAAATGATGAAAATAAATTAAAAAATCATTTCAGGGGCAGTATGAAATATACAGCCCACTAAATACATTTTAAGACAACTGTCCACGTGGTAATTTAGGCTAAAAATGTACACACAATCTTCAAATTAAACAGCATTTGAAATGTGGTAAAAAATAAACAAGCCTAGATTAGAATAAATATTGCTTGTTAGTCTGTTTTTCCTAAATGTTTTTCAATTCTAATGCCTAATGCAGATCCTCTTGGCTCTATAGCCTTAATAAACTACCACCACTGATTCACTCTCAGTTTTACCTCATAATCAACAAATTTGGTGGAATCTTCTAAAAACATGTCTTCTCTCTTTGGTGGGGTGTCACGGGTGGCCAACGCCAAGCAACGGAGAGTATCCCGTCCTGTGCCCCACTCTTTGATGACTCCCAATATGTGGTCCTTAATATTGGCGGTGAGGGGAACACGCGTGGTGCCCACACGAACATAGTTACAACGGTCAATCACACCCTCGGGGGCACCCTGTGAAGAGAAAATGAAAGTAGCCAGCATTGCGACTGGAGGAGAAAGTGGATAGAATAGCAAGCAAGGTATAACAGTCTGGATCAGATAGTAAAACTTTAGCATAGAAGTGCTCTTTCTCTTCAGGGGGAAGAGTAAGTAATAGAAATAGTAATCTGAATGTCCATCACTGGGCTTTATGACTGCAGGAGGTGAACCTCCTCCTGGAAAGTCTATCCGTTATCTCCCCTTTTCCTTTCAATAGGGGAAAACTCTGTACAAATAAAAACAAAACTCTACACATATAAAACTAGCTACAGGAAAAAGGAGAGTAGCCTAGTCTTCTCTCTGATATGATAGCCCATGGAAAGATTCCAGGCTAAGTTTGATGCCAAGCTAAGTTCCACATGAGCAGCTACCATTTGTATATACTCAGTCTTTTCTTCTTTAACGGATTTGGTATATATTCCCTTTTCTCTAAATTAACAAAGGCCTGAACCATCTCCCCTTTATATGTAAACAGAACAGAAGCAAAATGATGTCCCCTCATCATACCTATTTTGAACTAAGATTCTAAACTCAAAGTTAGGAAAGGGAAGCATTTCATGGGATTGGGAAAGAGGTACAGGAAGAAATCTTTTGGATTGTGCCCGTATAGTGTAAGAGTTGCATTCTTAGATTTAAACCATGGTTTAAGCCCCTTCTGTAAGTTATTAAGCTCTCTAGGTGATCTTGGACCCATCACCACTTCTCAGCCAAACTTACCCTCCAGAATTGCTATGCAAGGATAAAATGAGGAGTCATGTTGACACTTGGTCTCCTCAGAGAAAAGTCAACTACAACTAATTAATTAAACTTGGATTAGCGGCTGAGAGAGAATTCCTGTTTTCCTTTGTGACCACTGAGACAGGACACAGGGAAGTGTACTGCTGACCTTGATGAACATCTTGTTACCAACAGCCGCCCGGGAAGCTTTGGCTGGGGAGCAATAGACAGACATGGACTTCCTGTCACGAGAGAACTCTAGGGTGAATTCCTTCTTCATGAGTTGTTTGATCACCTGAGGAAATGTATTGCAGAGGGAGAAAAAGAGAGTTAAACTTTACTTTGCTTACCAGCCAGGAAAACCACAGCAAATGAATGAGGTGAAAGAATAGTAGTAGAGTGATTTTCTCCAAGCAAGTGGTCTTCCAAATATACTGGACCGGTTTTCCTGTATTAGCCCAACACATCTAGAGGGCATAGCCATCTCTGGAAATAATGTAATGTGAGAATAATCATCTTTTTGGAGCTATAGCAGTGGCACAAATACACTTGGAGAGGATCATCAGAGATGGGTGTTAAGATTGCAAGAAAACAATACATTTTTGAGTACTTAACAAGCAAAATAAATTATTTATCAGCTTCCAGGTGATGCTGCGTAAGTCAGTAGCAGCTAGAATAGCAAAAGGCTAGTGGTAGCTTAACAACTAAGATTTATTATAGCATCAGCTTTCATGAACTATAATTCAGTTCATCAAACTCCACTTGTGTGACGTCCATTCCAAGGCAGAATTGGCAAGTTACAAAAAAGAGGGGGAAATGGCACTTTGAGAGTTACAACTCCAGAGAATCAACTTCCTTTCTCACCCTACAGCAAGCCTCTAACACAAACACATTTGCTCCTGTTGTGTTCCTCCTGTGCTCCATAGAGCAGTGCCTCTGCATCCCAGACCTATTTCACAACAGAGCCTGGGGGAATCTCTAAATGGGTCTTGAGAACAGCAATATGAACAGTGAATATTGTGGCCTGAAAGCACATTGCATGAGCTTCAACTCTGTAGTGGAGGGGGACCTGGCTGAGATCAGGGACAGAGCGATACTGGACTTTGATGAGGGTCAGTTCTTGGGGGCAGCATGGACTTACTGAGTTGCAGGCATTGGCACGTTCCACTTTGCTGAGATTCCGGACATCAGTGTTGAAGACATTCATTTTTTCAACCAAGCAGGTAAGGGCAGTTTCAGTGGCTTCACCAACCTTCTCATATACCCCTTTGGACTGGGAAAGGAAACAATCAGAGATATGATTTCAGTATACCAAGCTGTGATCAAGAAAACTTGGGGCATATGTTCAAGATCCAGCCTTGCAGAAGGGCGGTAGGGCTGGGAGCAAGAATTATTAATTTATTATTTACTCCTCTCTTCTGATCATTGCCTCCATGAGCAGCTACTTCAGCTGGTTGCAGGTGGAAGATCATGGACAACTCTGAACTGAATTTCTGGGTAGGCATATTGATCGCTAGCAGGGGCAGGCTACTGTCTACTGTTCCCAGGCACTGTCAGCCTTTCCGAGGTAGACCAGACTAGGAAACCAAAGTCATGCAGGCTAATACTACTTTTATTATAAGATTATAGTAACAGAATCTTGCAAATCTGAATGCATTTCCCCCCTCCCTCTCTTTATCTTTGTGAGAACTAGGGAGGGTCTTGTAATGGGCAGTGGGAATAACCATGAGGAGCAGGAGGAAGAGCCACAACCAAGAGAATGGTCAGATAAAAGACATTTGAGTCAGAGGCAGAAATGAATTTGAGAGTCTCAGACTTGACCCTCCTTAGGTCTCACGAAGATGGGGGGGGGGATATTCAGACTTGCAAGATTCTATTAGTGAAACCTTATAATAAAAGTAGTTTTAGTATTCATCACTTTGTTTTCCTAGTCTGGTCTGCCTCAAAGGGCTGACAGGTCTTGTCTGTGATACTTTTTCAGGTTACAGTTCTGGCCTGGACTCAGGTTTCTTTTAGCTGACCGCTATCTTGGTAGTGGCTCTTCCTCCTGTTCCTCAAGATCATTCCATCTACCCATTACAGACACGGCTTTGCAGCCCCAGAACACCAAATCATGGTTGGAATAGACAAAATTGAAATGCTTGGTTTGCCTTTCCCCTTAAATGTAGGGGAGTTGGCCACTACAAAATAAACCAGGCCTATTTTCCTTTGGGGGTGCTTGCAGGGTGTGGTCAATATTGGCAAGACAGGAGACAGAGCATCACAATGCAAGCCCTACCCCTTTTGTACATGCAATACACATTCAGAATGGGTGGGGCTTGCACTGTGACACTCTGTCCAACATTTTGCTGATTTTGCATCCCCCCTAACAAATGATGCTGGGGGGACAGATTATGTACAAAGTTTATCCTTCAAAACATCTCAAATCCAAAAAACTTCCCTGAAAAACTCAGAAACATAATGGCATTATCCAATTTTTGTATCGTTGCTGGAGACAAATTCTAACTTTTTTTAAAAAAAAAGGAAGTTTGGCCCCAGTAGAGCTAGAGTCAAGGTAAACCAAAATAACACCTCTCTACCCTGGCAAATGATGTCAATAACTCATTTGCAGGCAGTAAAACAGCACCATTTTGGCTTTTTCAAATTTTAGGGGGGTTGCTTTCTGGGGTGGGGAGGAGAAAATTACTGATATTTTTCCTCACTCAACCTTGGCAACTTTAAGATGTGTTCACATCTGCCAACTGCCATATGATCTGGAAAGCTAAACAGAGACAGGCCTGATTTGTACTTGGATGGATGGGAGACCACCTGGACATCCCAGGCAGCAAGCTAGGCTGAGAAGTTGAAAAAAAACATCTCAGGGGACTTCTGGGGAAGAAATGGCAGTCTGAAGACAGCTCCATAAAAAGTGGAGCCAATGACCATGGTGGAATGAATTCCTGTCTGGACAAGGAGAGGACTTGGGAACTCCCACAAGTGCTCCAGACTGCTGTAAGACAGTGGTCTCCAGTGGGTTTAGAGCTCTGGGAGATGAGGGAATAGCTATCTTGCTCAAACCGTAGTCGACGCCTTCACAAAGGACACTGGGTTCACATAGTTCCTTTTCTAATCACTTTTGGAAATTGCTTGTTAACTGCTTTTCAGCTATTAGGAACTTTTGGACTGACAAGTTTTACAGCACTGGGTGAGTTTCCTTCAATCCTTAGTAACAGAAGTTTTAAATACAAGTTTAAGAACTTGATTTTTTTTTTCTGGAATAAACTGCAAAAGGGTGATTAAAAGCTTGATTTTAGAAAGTTACATGCTGGCTGGGGAATTCTGGGAGTTGAAATCCACACATCTTAAAGTTGCCAAGATTGAGAAACACTGATTTACAGTATATTGCCTTTTAAGAGCTTTTAGAGTCCAAAGAGATTTTTTAATTCTCAACTTTTTTGCCCCTGGTTTTATTATTTTAATGATGAGTTAGTTGGTTTTTTGACTTTGGGGTTTTGGTGAAGGTGGTCATACATATCCCTTCATGAACAATTGGTAAGAAGTAAATGATGAAGCCAGAGAGAAGCATTCACCTCATTGAAATCCAGCGAAGAGTCATTGCAAAGAGCACAAATCGTGGCCAGCTCAACAAGACCATCATATTGTCCAGCTTTGACTTGTTTATCATTCCTAAATCTGCACGTGCAAAAGAACAAGAAATAATAGTCACATGGGGCAGAGAAATAACAGTATTGTAGAACACAAATGGCAGTAAGGTGGTCTAAATGTTTCTATGTCACAGCAAATCACTACCGTATTGACTTTTGGTTTTTAATCACTTGGGGGGTGAGCAACTATAGGACAGGAACTGCTGCATTTTCCTATATTGTTGTGCAAGATTAAAGAGTAGTATTGTATAGGACAGTGATGCTTTCCCCCAAGGGGCTAAGTAGGGCATATCCCCGGGGAAAAGGAACAATTTATAACTGTTTGTTCTGAGTCAAGGATCCAGTTTCAACTGCCATTGCCAAGATGTTTGTGTAAAACAATGAAGTCTGGGGGTTTTGTGGGGGGGGGGATGGTGGTGGTAATGACATTATCTGAGACTGGGGAAAAGGGTAATTGGGTCAAACAGTTTAAGAACTACTGGTATAGAATGTCTTGCTACCTTCACGATGTTATAAGAAGATAAGGGCTGGAGAAAAACAGAGTAGTAATACAAGGTACGTTTTATTGCTTTTCCTTGCAAGAACAGTGCATTGAGAAGAAGTGAGGAGACTGTACATAACCCACCTTACCTATCCTCCTTCCCATCAGGCTCCTATGGGTTGGGAGGCAACTGTCCACAGCCTATAATTTAGAACTAGTGGAATGGAGATAGGGAGAGGGAACTCCAACTTTTGCTCCACTTCACATACTGTTAATTGCATCGGAAATCTTTCCTCTTTATAATACCACCAAGGTTAATGGTAAATAATAGGCTTTTTTGCCTCTGCTACAAAGATTTCAGAGCTCTGTATATATTTAGAACATGCTGGGGAATACCCACACTTCCCCCTCAAAAGCTATAGCCCAGAGTGATGGTAATGCTTGGAGTTTAATGAAAGAAAATGGATGTAGGGAAACTAGGTTTTTCCACTTGCACCTAATCATGGCACATACATGCCCAGAATCCCATTTTTCTACCATATCATTATGACATTGCCTTGATCTCATCTCCAACCTATTCAGGATACCATAAAGTTATTCTTAATTGTTTCAGTGTTAAAATAGCAGTGTCTTCTGCTTTAGGCATGCAACAAGCTCCTCCAGTTTTGCTGTGGGTGCACTCTGATGTCTTTACCACCCATGATTTCTAGGTGACATTTAAGAGTGTCGACCTAGAATGTATAAGTCACTTCAGGCTGGTGAGAGCATTTACCCTCCTCTCTGGCCCCTAGACACTGTTTTCCAGGATCATTCTGCTTTGGGAAGTGGAAAAGGCCAGTTGTTTTGAACTGATCTCTTCTCTTTACCTGCCAGCTGTCTCACAGACCTGGAACAGCCTGAAGAGCAGCTGACTAGCATTGACAGTGGAGGGTGCTTGCATGGCGAATGATACAGTTCTTCCCCTGCTGTTGTTTGGGCTGCTTTTGAATGTGAGTTTAGCACTCTTTTGAAATAACTCTAAACCCATATCCAAAATGAACACAATGATCAGCGTGGTTTGGCAGGACTGTTTTGAATGAACCCATTCAAAGAAAGCTTGTCTATCATCTGACATGAGTTTAAGGCTATTCCTGAATGGTATTATATACCCCAATAGCACTATTCCATAGTAATTCTGAATAGCATTAATTCCTGGATCCCTTTGAATACACGTAAGTAAAATATTTGGACCAAATCATAGTGAGTTTTGACAGATGGCTTAACCCCATGGTCTAGACATTTATTTGTTTGTTTGTTTGTTTAATTTATATTTCAAATTTGTCACCACCCATCTCACTACAGAGTGACTCTGCGTGGTTTACAGCAAAAACAGAATAAACATTAATTAAAATAGATAAATATTAATTAATATTTATCAAAACTGGCCTCTTCTCTCAGTCCCTAAGAATAGTGGTTGATAAATGTTTTCTCACTTCATCTGATGGGAAGGATAGGAAAAAAGCTAGGGGGAATCCACCATTCCTGTACTTTTACACCTTGTATACTATAAATAAGGACAACACCATTTGCCAACATCTTGCCTGAGGCAGGATAAGGATTGCTAGAGGGGGAAGCAAATTTTATGCCAGTTTAAGGATTGGTAGGTAGCACTTTAACTTAGATGTAAGGAAAAAAAAAACATGCAACAGATGAGAATGGAACACAGACTTTTAACATGGTTTCTTATCCAAGCCTACATCAGAAATCTCCAGATTGTTTCTGTGAATTATGGGAGAAACAACGCAAAAGGAAGAGAAATCAAAGTATCTGATTTTTTTTTCTGAAAGAATAAATATCATATTAAGCCCAAATATGATTTGTTCGGTTTTGATTTAGTATTTTGCGTTAACTTAGCCACTGTAATTTATGAACCAAAATTTATTGATTATTGTGTTGTGAATCCAATCACTGCAATTTAAGTAACCCATGGTTGAAACAAACCATTACTCAGCATAATATAAAAACTAAAGCATCGGTTCAAACATTTAAAAAATCAGAGTCTATTTTTTTCTCCCTCTACAGGATTAGGCTATCAGGTTTAAAACTTTGGCTTTATTTAGAGTTACTCACACTTCTCCTTCCGGGGCATAGGTGGAACCAGTGATATTGAATTCATTCAAAGCACAGAAATCTCCTTCTATTTTGTCCACAACAAACATCTAGAGAAAAAGGGAGGAAGAAAGAAAGAAAGATAGGGTTTTGCTAGGGAAAGATAGGCAGTGCTGAGATGCCCAAAAGAGACCCTAGATGAGAAAAGGGCTGGCATCAAGCTTCAGCTCACCTTGCAAACAGACATTTGATTGGTAGTAAGAGTGCCAGTTTTGTCGGAACAGATGACGGAGGTGCAGCCCAAGGTCTCCACTGAGGGCAGGCTTCTGACGATGGCGTTTTTCTTGGCCATACGACGAGTCCCCAGAGCTAGACAGGTAGTGATGACAGCGGGAAGGCCTGAGGAGGAAGAACAGGAAGGAAAAGAAGAAGATAAGCTTGGGGAATCCATGTGACATCCAAATAAATAGCTCTGAAGTTTCCTTTGGCTGTTACTACCCATCATTGCACTTCTTTTTCAGATATCACAGAGAAACTTGCATTATTAGGTTCCAATTTGTGGCAAAGCATGATAAGTGTAATGGTGAGCCATAGCCCAATCGTACAGGAATGCTTTGGATCTGAATAGTCTCTAAAATCTCTGAGTGACAACACTGTAGTAGAAGGGCTGGAAAAGATCTTAGCTCTGTTCTTGGTGCTAAAAACAGGGACTCAGTCAGATCACTGAGCGAACCAGGACACCCAGCTTGAGAGACAAATAGGTACATTTGCATTTTCAGACACACACACACCCCCCGAGTCACTCTCCCAAAATGACTGCCAAGGTGGGTCTGGGTTGTTAAAACTAACCCAAGTACCAGAAAGCAAATCTGTGAGATGCTTCTCCATAGCTCCTCTCACCCCAAGGATGCCCTCTGCTATCTCAGCTGATTTTGCCTTTCTCCTGGGCATCCTTCCAGACCTAGCACTGGGCTGCCCTCACTCACTTTTTTATTTTCTCAAAAATGCCCCTTGCCCTATGCAATTCCCAAAGCATTCCTGGCGAGAAAAAGGATGCTAGAGGATGTCACTTTGGTTTGCAACATGCTAGCTCCCCATTTGTTATTTTTAAATAAAAGAATATAACAACATTTAAATAAAATTGGGTGGGGCACGAGATATGGCAATACAAAGAGAAGTGTCAGTGTCACGTTAGACCTGATGTTTCGAACACTTTCCAGTTTTGGCTTAATGTGATGTATTAACTAGAGCCAGTTTGGTCTTGTGGTGAAGGCACCAGGCTAAAAACCTGGAGATGGTGAGTTCTAATCCTGCCTTAGGCATGAAAACCGGCTGGGTGACTTTGGGCCAGTCACTCTCTTTCAGCCCAACTCATCTCACAGGGTTGTTGTTGTGGGGAAAATAGGAGGAGGAAGGAGTATTAGTCATGTTCGCTGCCTTGAGTTGTTTATAAAAATAATAAAGGCGGGATAAAAAAAAATCTAATCTAAAAACCATCTGAGTTTGTAAACCAATGTTTATAGCTTAGCATTATGTATGAACTAGACTACTGCAGTTTGTTCAACGAACCATTATTGCAACAAGCAACAGTTTGGGACAAAGTGTAAATCCAGTCACCAATAACGTAAGGCTTTATGACAGTATGAGTTAATATCTAAACCAAAGGTCAGACTCCAATTCCTTCAGACCCTTTTCAGAGTTCAGGGCACTATATTTCAGTGCAGAAGAAAATGAAAGCACAGAAACACAATGGTAGCAAAAACTATTTAAAAAAGAAAGGAAGAAAGAAATCTGCCGGCATTCATTAATCCCGGACAGGTGGATGTGGGAACCTGGAATGGCCTCAGCTGACCTTCTGGGATGGCAGCCACAGCGAGGGCAACAGCAATCTTGAAGTAGTAGATGGCGCCACGGATCCAGGAGCCGCCATGTACGGGGTCGTTGAAATGTCCGATGTTGATGAGCCAGACAGCCACGCAGATGAGGGAAATGACTTTGGACAGCTGCTCACCAAACTCATCCAGTTTCTGCTGTAATGGCGTCTTCTCTTGCTCTGTGGCTGCCATTTCATCGCGGATCTTACCGATCTCAGTGCCCACGCCTGTGGCAATAACGATGCCAACAGCCTTGCCTGCACCAATGTTGGTACCCTGGAGTGGTTTGAGGATGAAGGGGAATAGGAGCAAAAAGGATCAATGTAAACAGAGGAAGGCGCACTCAAGAAAAAACAGCCGAGGAAAACTAAGTTATTTTAGCTAAAGGCTGTAAGCAGGACTGTGTACAGTCTCACATAAGCACACTGTTTGACTTCTAAGCTGTTTGGGTTTAACATCTTAAAAATCCAAGGTTTCCAGCCATTGTGGCTGTAAAGAACACGTCTATGCTACAAATCTGTATCATTTCTATGTTCATTGTCTATCTGCAAAGAATTGTTGGAACTACAGTTTAGGAAACCGCTGAAACTTCTGTTAGAGATTATGTCAGCCACGAAAACCCCATCCCAAGAACCATGTTCACAACTTCCTGAACTGGGATGAGGTTTTAGCATGCTGCAAAATTCCTAATGAAGAGGAAAAATAAGCAGATAAAAGCCTATTTCCCTGGAAGTTGCAGAACTGAGCTCTTCGAAAGGAGAAAGGAAAGAGAAAAGTGAGTAGGTTCAGTTACGGCAGAGATTATTGCACCACTGCAGGGCCTGAAGGTCCATCTTGGGGACAGATCATCCTGGATAAAATCTATCTGGGTGGTTACTAAAAGTCAACACTGACTTGATGGCATGTAATCAGTCATTAGATTACCTTGCACTTGCCATGTCTCCCTAGTAATATCTGACTTGCAATCACATTAGCATTTTTGCTTCATCCTGCTGCTACTTGAGGAAAATTCTAATAACGCTATATCATGTCATGCTTTCTGCCAGTCATATGTTACTGATAGGAAGCATGGAATTATGGCATTTACAAGTTTGGACTTTTGCCCCTGATCTCCCCAGTCAACTATAGGTGAAATAAAAGTGCAATGTAATATCAGCCCATTTCCACTTCCTGCTTCACCCGTTGCTGCTTGAGCAAACAGGGAAACGCTAATAAAGTGGTGCCACCTCACTCTCCATCATTACCAAGTAAAGATAATTGGAATATGATGTTTAGTGTCCCATTAGCGTCCCCATCATGTGCTATTTGGATCTGGGCCAAACAGATGGATGGGAAGGCTTAGATTTTCAGCCCTGTCAGTAACACTCACTGAAAACAGCATATTCTTCTTGTCCTGATTCACAGCACGAGGATCTGGGATGGGTTCGGTATGTTTGATCACAGAGACAGATTCACCTGGGTGGGGATACAAAGGGTCAGAGCACCTGGTTCATACAAAACAAGGTCTTGATGGCCTGAGTGAATGCAAGCATTGCATGTTGCATAGATTATACCCAAATCTACACATACCCCAATGATTTTCCAAGGCATTTTTTCCCAACCGCAGATTCTTCCATGGAATGCATGATCTCTAGGTAGTCCTATCCTTCGCCTTCAAAAAGTGGCTTAAGATATAAGTGCTTTTCTAGCTCTTCTCTGATTGGCTGAGATTTAAAAACATAGCCTTGGTTGTTATTCTCTTTCTCCCTTTCTTTTTACTTTTTTTTCCCCATTAGCTTATGAGCAGAATTTACTTATTGCTAATATTATGTATGAGCTCCTCACCTGTCAAGATAGACTGGTCCACACGTAGAGTGGTGGATTTGATGGCAATGATGCGGATATCAGCTGGGACTTTGTCACCAACTGGGGAGACAAAAGAAGAAAAACCTTGAGTTTTAGCCATAGAGCAGTAATTATTGCTTGATTAAAAAAAAAACCCAAAATGATATTGACCAGTTTGAGCATCTTTGTTGAAGGAGAAATGATGGTGTGCAGTTTTTATAAATACAGTGGTACCTCTAGTTACGAACTTAATCCGTTCCATGACTCTGGTTGCAACTCAAGTTGGTCTCAGGTCGAGATA